ATCAAATAATCGTTATCAAATTAAAAGTCCATCTTACTACAACATCTTTAATACGGCTAGTTTGCAGAAAAGCAAAAAAGATTCATTTGAATTTATTAGCCAGATTTCATGTTGTAGATTAATTGGGAGATAATAAGGTAAAACTATCTTATCAATGCTAATACGCCTTCTACATCTCGTACAAAAAATTTCATTTCGACTAAATTATCCACTAAATTCTGACTAAATTTGCCTCATCAATTTTATAATTTCGATCTTTTGTTATTAAGAACACGCTGTATGTATGCTCTCTTAATAGCTCACTAATACTTATTGCATTTTCTACAGTATACAGATATTTTCTTTGAATAACTTCGAAATGAAGCATATCTCGTTATGTTTCCAAAGTTTCCATTACAGTAACATATATGCCTGATTTTAACTTTAAATCCTTTCTAAAATATTTTCTGTCAGCCAGCAGAAAGCTCACAAGAATTGTTATAAATCATCTGATAAGACAGACATTCTGCTGGGTGACCAAATGAAAAAAATGAAAAAAACAAATTTTAACATAATGAAAATTGAAAGTACTAAAATTATATAAAAACAAATAAGAAAATGAGTTTTCAAAATATTAGAAAAGCAACGATTCGGAGCATTCAAATCAATCATTTATTGAATTTTCAACAATACTGTATATTGGAAAATTGTTTATTTTGTTAAATGATTATGTTCGAAGGGATATCAGAAAATATCAATACGTCAGAAAAAAAAAACCTATTAACAACATTTATGCATCATTTCCAGCAAATCCTTATTGCAATAGAAATTTGAATTTCATATAAAAATTTTAATAAGTCAAACTGAGTTTAAAAAAAAAAGAAAAAAAGAATAAAAAAAAACGACAACAAAAGAGGATATAGAGTAAAAGTTTATGCAAAATACATAAGGAGTGTATAAAGGCCAAATCACCTCTTCCATCTTTGCATAAACCACCATTGTTGTTTGACCATTTCTTCATTTCTATAAACATATCTCGTGCTACATTTTCTTACTTAAATTTTTTTACGCGCATATGATGAATGAATCCCAATTTGTCCAAGTAATTCCAATTCCTATAGCAATTCCTATTTATGCAATTCCTATTTGCAAAGAAATTGCAACCTTATTATTATTCTTTGCCCTTCCTCTTTTATCTAATCTTTCTCTTTGTCATCGCCAATCCTCACTATCCCTCCTATTCATCAAAGTGATTTCGTCGGACAATGATCGTACTGAAGACCTGGTTTTCAAACAAAAACTGTCGTAATTTGTTAACAAAATAATGAACGATAATGAAACAGGCAAAATATTGAATCCATGCCCATTTCAAGAGTTCCAGTAGACCTGTTCGGTAAAATAGCTGTTGTTCAAGGATCCGTATCGATAGATGTAGTATAAAATTATTGTTGCTGGCTCGTTTAGGCGTCCATGCAATTGACTGCCTTAAAAAAAATTCACCATATATTTCATGGAAAACAATTTTCTCACTATTTTCACGCTATTAATCAAAAGGAAAGTACAGTCTTCACAAGCTCTCCAACTAGTTAGATCATAAACTTGAAGTAGGAACTAAGAGACATTGAGATTATTTTTCTTATTCAATCATCTCCCCTTCATTTATTGTATTATACTATATTGTCTGTGATTTTTCTCCCATCTTTATTCCTATTTCTTTGGTCACAACTAAAAAGCAAATAATGAAACCAGCAGCGACTAGGTTAATGTAATGCTTGATGTTCAGTGCACAAGAACTGTGTAGATCAATGAAAAGGCTTTGAAAAGTATCCCTATAAGAGGATATGTTAAATTAATTATGCTAAATTATTAAAGCGTCCTATCGTTTTTAAATTTCAGAAGCCATTAATATTTTTTTACTTAAAACGTGCGTTACAATGACCATATTTTCAAAAAAGAAAAAAACTATGAACTCTACATCCGTCTTTTACATCCGACGTAATGGTAACATTTTCTGTAGCTTCTGATACTAAATCAAACGAGCAATGGTGTACGATATGAAACTAAAGCAAAAGATCAAAACCGAAAAAAGAAGTACTCATTATGGAAGGCAAATGCATTGGTAGAAGGAGAGAATGTCAGATGATTTATGATGACAAAGGATAATGATGCTCCCATTCAAAGGAAAACGAACAATAGAAATAATAAACAGAGTAAATGCAAAGAAAGAGTAATTATTAATTAAAAATTAAGTATCACATAGGGGAATCGCTGCTTCAAACGAGTCCGGGTCCAGCTAATCTAAAAAGTAGCTATTTTGATATTAATAAGCTTATAAAGGTATGTGTAGAAATAAGGGAAATCAATGAAAAGATGACACAAAACAAAAGGAAGAATCGGCGGTATAATTATAAATAAAAGTCCTTTGAAACAATCACCTTTTCAAAGTTGTTGTGAAATTCCTAAAAGAATTACGTGAAACAATTGCGACAGGATTATACTGAGCTAAATCTAAACTGGATTCATTGATCAGAGCCCCTCCATGATCTGGATCCCGGCCACTGCTCCAGAATGGAGTCGCTTGATCCAACCAAAGATCACCAGAAACTGTTAACGATGATGACGCAGTCACATGCTCCAAATCATCAAGCACTGCGGTTTCCATCTGTAACTTTCAGGAACTCTCTTTTTCGGTTTTAAACCAAATCTATTAAAATTCTCAACCACTCACTTTATACTACTCCAAATTCCAGAATAGTGATTTCCAGCCTTTTCTTGACTAGGAACCATTTTGGTTTTTTTAATAAATTTTATTAATTTGAAAATGAATTTCAATCAAAATTCTTAGCGTATTAGTTAAACTTAGAGTAACACTATATTATAAAAGCGGTCTACTTACCGCGTCGCCGCTCTCGTGGACCATCAGTTGGGAATCACTAATCTAGAGGAATAAATATTTCGAGTTGAGTTTACATTTTTATTGGAGTGTTTGCAGGGAACTTTTCCCTTATATTTTTGTAAATAATGAGGCTCAAACTTCTTTTGCTAATAAATTCTGTTAATTTAATTTCTTTTGCTAAAAAAATTGAAATATCCTCATTGTTGAACATTGCTTGCGCAGAAAAGAAAATACAAACCGAAAAGCGCGACCTTTGATCAAGTTGATAATCAAATAAAAACATATAAAAAACTCCATAGATTTTATCCTTTTCTTCAATAGGAAATGTGACATTTAATTCGATCTAAAAAAGAGTGGTCAAGTAAGCAAGGTGAGAAGGACACTAAAAATTATCAGAGATGCTAATTTCAACGCATGATCTTTCCGGTAGCTAATTTATGTAAATAGAAAGAACACATTTCAATTTTGAGATTTTATACTTTTGCAGGTGGCCTACTTGGAAAAACTCTTATTTTGTATGAAAGTAAATGCAGAGCTTACCAGATCAGGTTTTCCGTCATCATTAAAATCGCTTTCATATTCTTCAAGTACCGCTATTCGTACATGTGTTTCTTCAGCATGATTAAGCAATGGATACGAACTCCATACGTAGTAACTGTTTGGCACTTCGCCTTTCAGCAAAATAATGAATCGTTGTTTGTAAAAAACTGTTGCTTGTTCTCGATATTCGCTGAATTTTTTCCAAAAACCCTGAAATTAATCGATAATTTCAGACTCTTCCATTCCTGCATGAATTTAGAAAATGATGAAATGTTGGATTAAGAACTTTGGACAAAAAATCTCAAGACGCTTAATAAATGCTATAAAACGATGCTAAATAAATAGCCCTCAGAAAATTACTTTTGTTGACTGAAATCCTCAGTAATCAGAACGACAAAGTAATTGACAACTAAGTCACCTTTCAATCAGTATACTAAAATGGTAAAATGCGGGGTAAGAACTTTTAAAAAAGACAAAAGAAATAAGGACATTTTTGTTTGGAAAACGAAAGTACCTGTGCTGTGAATGCAACGAATAGTGTGAACAATAATGTAAAGGTAGAAAGGGCAATGCTGCAACAATATGCCATTGAGCATTTTGAAGCTTTATATTTCCATGTACAGGGCTAGAAAATAATAATTTTCTGAGAATTATTAAAAAGAAAATGAATAAAAAGCATTAAGAAAATAATAATAAATAAAAAACAAACTTTCATAAGATGAAAATTTTTATTAAAAATCTGCATTTGTGAACTGCTTCCAGCACTATTTTGTCAAGACTACAATTTACTAAGCGTGAATGGTAATATAAGGAGTATTTATTGAAGCAGTTATGAAGAGGTGATCATTGCAAGGCACTAATATTACACAAATACATAACCAGATTTGTAAAGAGACCTAACTATACATGCATAGCATGATAGTACAATGAAAAAGTCTTAGCCTTTATAATAACTTAAGAAGGGAAAAATAAAACTAACCTTCTCATATAATATTTTATATTTCATTTATTCGGCAGGAGTGAAGACGTGTATCTTTCGATATAACGCTTTGAAACGTCAATGCTAGCAATGTAAACACAAATCCAGGATACCGAAGCAACGAGAAATAAAAGGCAATTAAGGATGCAAGAAGTCTGCTTTTTACTGTACACCATCAATTCTCCCAGGACTGCAAAAATATTTCAATAATTACTAAAATTTAAATCTCCTTTTTTCATACTACAATATATATCTAGAAATACTGCACTTAAAATTTCGAGCATCTCAGGCAACCAAAAAGCAGTCAACATTTTTCGTCTAATGATGCAGAAGTCAGGTTTTAGGTCTTTTAGGTTTCTTCTAAGTCAGCTTAGGTCTAACCAGTCATTGCAAAAATAAAATTCGAACCTAAAAAACAAATTGTGTGAACTTATACAATAAGATATTAAGATCTTATACACAATCAAGATCTTATATAACAAGATATTTGATATTAAGCAATATCAAATTCTGGATCGAGAGACAACTGTTTGAAATGGTTGCTATGGATATAAATGTCTCCGTCGATATGGTGATGTGTACATTTCCCAAAGATCTCAAGAAATGCGACTAACCGTAGAGTGAAATTGGAAAACAGAACATACTTTGCGGTAAATATGCATATACCATTTTCATTTCCAAATTGATCAGTGAAATAGTAGAAAATGTCAGGAAACTTCGATTCTTGATTCTTGATAAGTCTTTTTAAGGCAATTTTAAGAGAAGTGAAGTGAGATCCCCTGTTCAGAATAAGGATGAATATCTATGAATTCGTGCTACAGTTTCAAAATACAAATAATCGGAATCTGATATAAGAAAAATCTTTACAACAATCTTGCTCTTTCTTATCGAATATCAAATGAGGATAAAGAAAACGTTCCGATCGGTACAAAAATAAGTTTTCCAATTCAAATATTTTGTTGATTACAATAATTTTTATTTGCCTAACATAGATATAAACATAATGACAACATAAACCAATAAGATCACATACAATAATGATTCAGTTGCAGTCAAACTGTCAAAAAATAAATAAATAAAAATAAGAAAAATAAATAAAATAGAGAATAGATGGAGTTTTTGGCTGCTCTTATTAAGGTTAGATGAGATAATCACATTTTTCTGACCGATGTTAACTAATCCTGAGATAATCAATAAGTCCCACACCAGTTCCACAGTGTCATTATCCTGATGGAGAGAAATCCTCCATCAAAAAAGAAAACTTTACTCTTCATTTTCAGACCAAGTCTGTGCCACAGTATATATATATATATAAACAATATTTTTAGTCATATATTAAAGTCAAAAAAATCAAGTGAAATCAATATTAATTGGTATTACTGACTAGAAACACGAAAACACATAGGAGAAATGATACTGTTAAGCTCAATAATTCTAATTTCAAGGTTGACAATTTGTATCTTCGGAAGACATTTCAAAAACCAAAAAATATTCATGCTAAGTCTGGTACAGAATTGAAATCCTGGAAAATAAGAACTGACGAGAAGGTACATATAGAAACTGAAGAGAAGGTATCATCCTACTAAAACAAGAATATAAGTTAATAGAAAAATTAGCACAACAAGTCCATTATGCTTACCAGAAAGAGCTAGATTTATTCTCTAACATCTATAACAGGTAACAGGAACATGAATCGCTAGCATGGTTAAGCTAATATATTATACTGACCACAACTATCGCTTCAGAAGAGTCATGGAAAAAGGTCAACAATCACCATGATTATGATTAAAAATACCTAATACTGAAAGCCGTTTAGAAGGGCTCACTTCTTTCACTGTTTCTTGATTGTCAGAAATATCGAGAATAATCGGTAGATGAGAACGAGATACCGATCGACCGTGCGTTCCTGTATAACTGATATCGGAATGAACTGAATCCACATGCGTCATACTTCCCAATTCTTGCCTTAAACTTGCACCTTCTATTTGAACAAAAAGAAATTCTCAAAAAGTTAAAATGGTAAAAGGAAAAAGAAAAATAGAAAGCATATTTGGAACAATCTGGGAAGATCAAGGAGTGAAAATTAGAAAGCATATTTTGAATAATCTGGGAGGATCAAGGAGTGATCATTACACTTTCAACGCGGTAGCATGTTTTCTTTGTTCAATTTGAAAATACCCTCTACACCAATAAAGCTTTTCCGTGATTTATATTTCGGATTCTAGAAAGACAGAGAGATATTCCTAGATGTTAAACGAAAAATAACCGAATAAAATCTCATTTTTTGATCAGAATTTGCCACAGGAACCATTGCATTCTTAACTAAATTGTAAAACGTCAGGATTCTACCAAAATTCATCTAATTTTGATAACAACTGTTATGCCTTTATCATAAGGATGATTTAGAATCAGATGTTACCAAGGATTTCATTCTAACATCCCTCATTAGTTAATAGCATGCATATATAGTAATATGTAAACATCATGTCATAGTTTAGACTATTTTGTGCAAGGAAAGGATGCAAAAGTATAGCAGTTCAAGAGGAAACAGTAATACATAAATAACATGCAAAGTTATTAAAAATATATAGCTCTCCTGCTTACTGCTTCACCAAATTTAGGTTATTATTGATTAATACAAGTGTCAAAATCGAACAACAGATGTAAATGTGTGAATCTCCCCAAAACTCTTCATTCCTGATTGCATCACTTACTGTTTCCATTCATGACAATGATACCGTGCTCGAAGAAGCATTGATTAAATTCGACTTCCTAACAAAACCCAAAATTATTATAAATAGGCAAAAAGTAAGAGCCAAAACCAGGCAACTGCTCCTAAGTGAGTATATGAATGAAAATATGACAAAATTGGGAAAAAAAGATTAGGAAAATGACGAAAAAAAATATATGCAAGAGGGATTTCGAACAATAATTTCCATGCTTCAGCAAAAACAAGCCTAAAAATTATTATTAATCTCGAACAATCTCATTCAAATCCAACCTAATTTTATTCGTTTCAAAGTCCAGACTTTTGGATTAAATGTCATAAATGTTAGAACCACGCTAAATGTAACCAAATTTAAAAAAAAAGTACAGCCAACATCACACACGATACCTTTTATATCGGTGTTGAAGGCCATATTGTGCTCGTTTCGTCATTACATTCATATTCTCACTTCTGACATCAATTTTTGATAAAGAAATAAATGGAAAATTATAAAAGTCTTTTAAAATAGTTTAGTAATTTCATATTTAGTAAATAATTTTTCTCGAGTTTATAGAAAATTTGGTCCTCTGAAAAATTTCTCCAACCACACTTCAATGATACGAAGAGTCTGGCGTACTAAAAACACGAACAATTTTAGTAGAAAAATTTTGGAAAATTCCAAAAATTTGCATACTACATCTTCTTAGCAAGTAAAAAATCCGAGAAGAATGGGAAGTAACTAGTGCATGACAAATTTTTAGAGAAAAAGTTTTGCATAGCTACTGCAAATTCATTTTACGTCTTGTTGCATCAAAGATTGGTTGAACTGAAAATGGAAACAGAACGATACTAGAGAAAAATAAAATTTAAGAAAATGGATATTTTGAATATGTTTCGAAAGTCAGTTGCAGAAGCCACTGATCTCTTGTTCAACTTTTCAACTCTATGTGAAAAATTATGAGCAAGAATATTCGGACAATCAACATAAGGCAAAAACGTATTAGAGGTTTTTATAAAACTTTCGCAATTGATATTCGCAAAATAGTGTTAGGACCAATCGCATCAATTGTTTCATTTCTTAAGTTTTAAAACAGTTCCATGTTCCACAATTTCATGGAATTTTCAAGTTGAAAGAAAAAAGAACAGGAAAGAAACTCACCGGGTTTGCAAAATGGATTCCGATTCCAACAAATTCTCGCATGACCCACAAACACTTTCAATACTATCCCGCTCCGATGCAGCTCCATCATTAAAATGAACGGATGGTGCAGAAGAAGCAGGAAGTACGTCATCCACTTCTGCAATATCCATGCCAGAAAAACTTTCCAGTATCCACTGATGATCACCTTCCATTTCTGCCTAAATCTCAAAAATTAAAATCATTATTAAAAATCTGATGCTATACTGTCCACAGACTTGAAATTTCACTGTATTTCTACTAAATCCAATTATTAATAACGGAAACTTTGTGGAGTATTCACATTAATTCCTTTATACTCCGAAAAAATAAGAATTAGTAGATCAGTGGTAAACAACAAATCATCCCGTCAAACAGCTTCAGCGTAGCTAACGTTAAGAAAAACAAACTACATGTAAGGATTGAAATAGAAAGCCTTATTCCAGTTCACTATTTATTATTAGCATTGGCAAATAACAGCTTTACTGGTTTCTTTTTCAAAGTAGAATTATGGTAACACCTCCTCAACACTATGAACTCAAAATAATAGTGCTGATTTAAGCCACACTTGATTTGAAAACAGTTCCAATCTCTATCATCATCCGGAATTGCTAGCTTCAATAGATGAATTTGCATCTGAATCAAGTTATCATTCGGCAGTGGTCATTACTTTAGCTTAGAGGAAAGAAAAACCTGTATAGGAATCCGATCTTTTTGTTCTTGCATTGAATTTGGAGAAGGTGATATTGCTAAAGCAGGAACGGCTGACATCAAGGAAGGAGTTTCAATAGTGTCCGGAAGCACCACTGGTTTCCAAGTTCGAAGCGTCTCAATTAACAACTTCAACAATGTCCAATCACCCAAACTCAACTGCAAATTGAAAATTAGATTTCCAAGTTCATAAAACTATCTGTTTATAATTGTCGAGCATATTTGACTCAATTAATCTTCGTTTTCCTGTCAATACAAACTGAAAAGAAAACTGCAATAAACTCCAGATAGAGAGCCAAAAAAAACTCAACATAAATTTAAGAATCGAATGTCCGACAGTCTCAAGTCACTGTTATACAACGATTATCTAGAAGTGATAAACGATCGTGTAGTAAAAAAACATGTATTTTTAAAAATTTTCATAATTTCGTCATTAATGTAGTGGTAAGCAGAATTCTTCGCCTATATCACCCAGGATTTTCTAAGGAAATATTATAAATTATTTTTCTAATTTCAAGCTTAGACCTACAACTCAGTTTGGCACGAATAAGAGAATTTCTGCACCACTCTTAAACCAAGATAAGTTGGTAATACAGTCAACCATTTTTCTTGAACAGTCCTTTGTTTCGGTCAAGAAAACAGAAAAGAATTTTCAATTTTTTTGGAGCTGCTTTATAAAATTTAAGTAAAGAAAACCTTCAAAACTTCTTGCACTTCCAGTAAATCACATGCCGATAAAACAAGACCGGTAAGATTGGACGCACTCATTTTTTCAGTAATAACACTTATTCGTTCACTAGGAATATCTAACTTTTTCACCAGGTCAATTATATCTGATAATTTCATTTCAACGAGTGGTACTTCAATTTCTCGCCAAATGTTCTTGTCCTGAAATTTGAGACAGTGGTATAAAAACAAGAAAAGCAGAGGAATGAGATACAAAATGAAGTGCCAGAGTGATCACTCGACAAAGTATTTTTTATATTAAAAGACCTACTCAAATTCACTGCCCTAAAATTTGGACATGATGAGGATTTTTAGACTAGAATTTGAAATCGATATTTAAATTTAATTAAGATTTCGACTTACACTGACAAAAAAAATCTATAAATGGAAATGTAAGAAAGTGAAATATGTTGCTTACTTTGAAAAGATGGCAAGCGAGGCCGGAGATTACGAAACCAGATAGGTGCAACGGCCGATTAGCAAGTGTTTTAACCGGTTGTGCAGTGCCAATACGACATTCTACAAAACAAACATTTTTCACCATTGCTACAAACATCGTACTTCTTTATATATAAATTTTCTTGGAAAAAGTGAAGTAATTTGGAAACATTTCACAAGAAAATTCTTGTAATTCTACCTCTGATGAGTTTTCTAAGATAAGGATCCAAATTAGATGTACACGGGACAAAACGACGAACGTGTCCGACAGTCAACTGCTCTGGACCAATCATGGATGCTTGTTCCAGGAAAGATTCGAAATTATCCGGATTTCGATCCAAATCTATTAGTGGGTCCTTCTTTGGAATTTGTTGCTTCAGATGGTTATACAGCTGCAAAAGCCTGTCAAATGTTTGAAACAAAAGACCGGAAGATTGTTGAAATAAGTAAAAAAAAAGAAAAAACCTCTGCAAGCGGATATGAATCTTGTGGAATATCTAACGCACGATCAATAAGCCAACACATCCTAGATGGCCACTGTTCAATTAAGCTAACCCAATAACCAAGTGAAACCCACGAAAATTCAATTTCAAATGCACGCATCAATCTGAAAAAAGAGCGAATTGCGGAAAAAAATGTAGTATAAAATTTAATCAAATCTAGATTTGGATATAAAAAAAACCAAATATGAATAAAAGAATGACAAATTGCATAAAAACCATTAATGAATTTAATTTGTACCATCTTTCAAGTTTCGAATCAATTTTCACTAACCGTCCCGTCAACGTAAGCGCGTTGACAATGCGTTTCATTGACCGTGGGTTCATATTAGAGAAATAGTCATCTGCTATTAACGAATGGCTTAATCCACGAGTTCCTACAACCGTTACCTTTCTTGATGATTTTCCTTCAAAACCTTCTCGCAAGGATATATAAGACCCTGTAACTTCTTATTTTATAATATTGAAAATTTGAAATCCATCTAATTTTATCGCTATTTACAACAAAAGAAACTTGCTGCACTAGCTTTCCAAAAATATTATTTCGCATTTGGTTACTACTGTGCACTTTCAGCAATTTAAAAAGACATGAACTTGGTGTTTTTTGCAAAGTATATTTCTAATTGAAGAAATACTGACCATGAAAAGTATCTTGTCGCCTGAATCTTTCCTTCCAATCAGCTAAGCTTTCGCTTTTGTTACGCAAATTTGTCTGGAGTTGTCGAATGGCTGAATTGTGCAGATAAAATGGCATATTAATGATATTCTGAAAGCAATAAAGAAATTTCGATTCGAACTGTTCAAAAGATTTAAAATATTACATGATATTTCACCATAATCCACCAACCAAATGTCAACCAATCTCCATACAAAATTATTCAATCTTTATTTATTAATTTGTGCTTATAAGTTCCAGTATTACCACATGCACCTATTAATAACTTCATCATATTTGGTCGAATTATTTTCAAAAATATTCCTAATTCTTTTGCACATGATTAGCTGTGTTACAAAAGTAAGCTACTTCTACAATTTGCTCATCTCCGAAATCATTCATTGCTTTTTGAAACTACCTCAAAACATTATGAAAAGCTTCCGAATTAGTTCAAACTTCATGCGCTGTAATATCAACAACCTTGAGGTAATCATGTCCAGTAAGTTCAGTTCCTGCTAGTGCAGAATGCATGCTGTGATTTACAGCCGAAATAATAATATGCGGATCAACAGCAATAGTTACTACGAATGGCCGATCAGCACGGGTACAGAATAATAGCTCCAACGCATCTAAAGTTTGTACCATACGCTCCTAAAATAATATCTCCTAGAAAATAATTAACTTGGATTCTATTTTTTTAAATCATCGACAACTCTATTTAACGCCTTACACTAATATGGCAAATAGATGAAGGTAAAGGAAAAAGCTTCCAATGTAATGTAACAGCAAGAGTACTGTAAGGGAGTTAGGTTAATCAATCATGCTCTGTAGAAGAGTAGTCCACAATGCTAACGGTTTCACTGGAAATAGGACTCTGGAAAATTGAAACTGATGTGATGAAATTAAATATATGAACTAATTTTAAATGACATTTCACCACAACATATACTGATATTATATTAACTATAAAAGTTACTTGTTCACAATTATCAAGGCCATCAACTACAACAATTAATCGAGTTTGACTGTTTGTAAAAAAGTCAAGTGAGCGAATCATGTTGGCCAAAAGGTCGACCTGAAAAAATTTTTAAACAAAATTTAACCATTATATCAAAAAAAAGATTTTTTGATATAATGGAATTATTGTTAAAGTATAAAATGAAGAAGATAACGAGAAAAGATAGCAAACATGGATAGAAAAGGTATAAAAGATTTAAATTTATTACAAAATCGTGGAATAATTCATTGCAAAGAAAAAATAAGAAAGAAGTTTCACCTCATGCTGTAATTTTTGCATAAATCCTTCAAAACGCAATTTGTTGATTTTCTGTGCCGCAATATTTATGCGTCTCTTTGGCATATTGACAAATCCATAAACAAAAAGAAGATAAAGTGGATACAACATAAGTACCACCGCAACAGCGAAGAATGATATGGACCCAAATAAATAGCTACAAATTATATTTAAGATATATTGAACTTCTGACATTTTAAACAAAGCAAATCATTTATTTATGCTACAGATTTCATTCAAATCACGTGAGGAAAATTGCCCGAATAAAGGGATATATAAAAAGATATAACTACTTGATATCAAAATGATAGTGTCAAATTTTTTAAAACCATTCTTTGAATGAAGGAAATCAAAAAGAAAGTGATATAGCTCGAAGGGAAAGAAACATTAAACTTCCACAGATTTCACTTCTCGAAAATCATCATGCACAATTATAAGCAACAGAAATGAACTGTTGTTCCAAGAAACCTATGTTTTACTGTCAACTATAAAAAAAGAAAAAAAACTTGGTTAAATAATAGTAACGATGAACCTAGACTGAAGATCCATTCCATCGTAAAGCCATAATGTAAATAGAATTAAAGCTGTACTGATTGAGAATAAGAAAAACGACACCATCATAGTAACCGGTACACCACATGCTCGTCGTGTTTTTGGTTTGTTGCCATGCGCTAAAATGATAATAATTTTCATGAAAAATGCTAACCATCAGTAAATACTGAAAGAAATAGTTTGATGTTTACAGTGTATGCGATCGAACGACACAAGGGAACGACGAAAAAGCAAATTCCTGCGGTAAATATCTAAGGAGTCCTTATAGTCTCAGTGATAAATAAATCAAGATGCCACATCATCTCATAACTTTAGGAATAAGAATCTGTTTCCAACCTTTTTCTCGAAACGAAAAGTAATAAATTTTATCGAAAAGGTGTTAAAAAGGCATTTAAAGAACTTTAAATTAACTTCCATATAAAATGAATACGAAATCTTTAAAGAAAGCTGCAAAGACTAGAAGAATAGACGGGAGGGAACATACCAAATGAAACTCTCAAAGCGCAAAATAGGCGCACCGGAAGTGAACCAAAATGATTTTCGGCAGCTTCAAATAATGTAATAACGATTTTTGCTAACGCCTGCTCACCACCAACAGATGATAAACGATGATAATCGGCAAACAAGAAACTAAAGATAAACAAAAAAATTTTCAGAAATAAAGTTTTTGCTAAGGGTGGAAAGATTATATGACTAGCCAAAAGAAAGAGACAAATCAGCATGCTCAAAAGTTGTAAATGCTACATAGTGGCAATGAGGCAACTACTTTTTGGCATACTCTGTTAAAGCTCATTAAATTGGAAGCTGATTAATTAAATATTTTAGTCGATATTTAAAAGTTTCAACTACTTGTTGTAGGTGTAGATTATCCAACTATAATAAAATACAGAAATGAGACAACCGACACATAAAGTAAATCGGTACCTACCTTACAGGGCAAGAAAGGACGTCTTTGTCCCGGACTGATGCACCATGTTGCAGTGCAACATTTGACAGTAAACGCATATGTGCCAAAAATTTAGCAATCGAACGTGCGACATTTACGGATTTATTCCACCCTTTAACACTGTTACCATAATAAATTAAACCTGAAAAAAGGAAAAAAAAACTGGAAAACAAGCTACATACACATTTGAACATGAAAAATGATGGTTTTGCCCAGTGAGTCTAAATTAATTCAGACTATTTCAGAGTTTTTGCCGCTAAGAAAACAACATATAGGAATACTAAAAGATCAGCATTCCTCAAGAAAAAAAAAAGAATTCAAAGAATTCTCCAATTTCAATATTTACACATGATAGTACTACGTGATGAAATGAAGTATTTTGAAGGAACAAAAACTGTTGTAAGAATTATATTGCATGAATTGTAGTACTTCGCCAAGAGTCAATAGTAATAAACTTCAAGTGGAATTTAAAATTTAAAAAGACGTGTCCATCTGTCTGAATTCATCTAAAACTCTTGAAAACATAATTTCAAAAAAGACGAAGAACTGACCGTATAAAAACAACGATAGAATAAACAGGATTAAGCCAGAAGCACTGACAGCAATAATATAATAAAGGTTATGAAGAAAAGCAACAGCAGTAATGCTGATAAGTGTAAGCATCACAATAAGAAGTGCTACTGAGAAAACCAATGACCAGGACCATGAAAGTTGTACTCCATCGAGCCAAGATCTTGAAAATGACCGCATTGAATCTTTCATTTTGTCAAGAAGTACTGACTTTCCTGAACCCCACTTTGCATATAGTCCTGAAAAACATATAAAACATTCCATATAAAAAACTCAGATTCAAACAATTTAAAATTTAAAAATGTAAAACGTAAAGTAATGAAAAACTTTTGAGACAAGGAACCAGCAATGAAAAAAGGAAGCGAAAAAGAAAAACGGAAACTAGTACTGGATGCCCAACATCTCGTGAGTTAATTAAACTCTATTAAGGGAAGTAAGAATTATCTTGATGGCAATAAGGGAAGAAAGTTATGATATTACACAATCGTTCGAAAATCAAAAGAAAAAAAAATCGTGACACTTAATTACGAACTTGATTATCGCTAACCATTTGACTCAATTAAGAAAACTTAACAGCTTACCAATGGTTAGTGGTAAAGTTAGATTCGGTTCGCACACAATATCAGCCAATACATTGCTATAAATATCGTAACCAAGCATAGCATCCACTTGTACTTCGGCATCCAGTGGTCCGTAAATTAATGGGATAATTGGCTGAGGATTTTCCTGATCAATTGAATATGGTGTCTGACCAAGTTTGTTTGGTCTGTACAACAGGCGCGAATCCGACGGATTCAACAAAAGGGACTGCGTTATTTTTCGTGATCTTGCTCGTAATGCCACATGTAATACATTATCACCGGCGTTATCCGTTGCCGAGACTTTTGCACCCGAATTTACAAGTAACTGACAAAAACCTACATGTCGATTTTTCACAGCGCGCAACAATGGTGTATCACCGTCCTGTAAAAAAGATTAATAAATGTTTCCACAAGTCGATTTTCATAGGTTCATAGGTCATAGGTAATTTGCAGAATTTGATAGAAGAGTTGATAAAGATAAATGACGAAAAACGATTCAGGCAAGTTCTCGAGTACTGTGGTAATCTCACTATAACCAAAATAAAAATAAATGGCTATCGTTAAGTAATCCACCACCAATCATACGACGGCAAACAACTTCAGTGAAAAAATAACGCGCATAGGTAAGTATATCAAAAAAAAAAAACTATAATAGCCCAGTTTGATCAAATGCTACGCTCTTTATATCTGACCAACGACTAGCATTTCCAATGCTTCTCCACGAAATATTTGGTAGTTGAATAAAATAGCCTTCTTTCATTAAAGGTAGAGGGATCAGCCTGCTAAATATGGTCAACTTCAAAACACAGTGATTAAAAAACTGCTGCATTTTTACGATTGCTAAATTATAAGTACTTCTAAAAAGAACCTTATTTCTTATTTCCAAGTTTGGCTTCTTTTCCAATAAAGCAACTGCAATATCCATAAATGACTTATCGATAGCCAAATGAAGAGCTGTTCTATTTTCCTGAAAATTTCGGTTTTTCTGTTTTTTTTTTCAAAAGTAATATATGGATGTGGTATACTGACTGAGTCTTCCGAGATGTTTGAATAAAGGCATGATTCAAGAATAAGTGAGAAATGATTAAGTCTAGGATTTCTCATCGAAGTCAATAATCCGCAAGAACCATTTAAATCTGTAAAAATAATATGAATATTCAAGAAAGAAAGTAATCAGACAAAAATATCAACATACGGAATCTCTCGCATTCACATCGGCATGCTTTTCGAGAAGCATTTTCACAATTTCCACATTTCCTGATCGTACAGCACCTGCCAAAATTGAATTTCCAAACTGCAAAAAGGTGAAAAATTGAAAAAGGGAAAAAATCAAAGTTGTCGAATAAACACCAGAAAATTCAACTGTACCCTGTCAACTGCATTTACATACGCCCCAAGTTGGATGAACATGGAAGCAATTTCTACATAACCTTCACGTGCTGCGATAGCAAGTGGTGAAAGGCCATTCTGCAAAATAAAGATTCATACAAAATCAATCGAATTCAGGCTCATCATAAAATCTACGACGATATCAGGAAGTATGTTCAGTGGTTCCAATGAAGCTAATTTTTAAAAAAAAAAAAAAAAAAAAAAAGAATATAGACCTGGTCGACAGTGTTGATGTTGGGCTCCCTTGATAACAATAATTTAACAATACCAATGAAATTACCTCGTGTGGCCATCATTAAAGCAGTCGATCCATACTGTAAATGATGGCATAAAAACTTTTTAAAATGTGGACTAGAACCATTCTAAATTTTATTAGATTTCAAAAATGAAAGGAAAACTGAAACTAAATACCATCCCAACAGCATCTAATTCAGCTCCAGCATCCAACAATAACTCGATTATAGGCTTATAACCTCTCCTTGCAGCCCAAATTAAAGCAGTACTTCCAAATTTATCACATGCATTTACCTGAAAAACCTATCAGTAGAATCATGGAAAAAAAATCAGTCGAAAGTTCTCCATCAATTAAAACGGCAAGAAATTTGCACATTCCGCGAACTCACCTCTGCACCAGCACCAATGAGCAGTTCTACAAAAGGTACATAGCCACGTCCAGCGGCAATAATAAGTGGTGTTAAGTTATCTTCTTCATCAATAAGATTAACATGAGCCTTGAATTGGATCAGAAGCTGTGCGCATGCATAATGATTCTTGTATACAGCCCACATCAATGGACTCCAGCCCAGCTGCAACATGAGAAACTCATCTTTTCTGTTTAAATACTACTTCTAGTTTAATTCATATAATTTACCCAACAATTATGAACTTTATGAAAAAAAATGTGAATTTTTGAAAATCTTAACTTAGTCATACCATATCAGAATAGTCGACAGCTGCCCCAGCTTCCAGCAATATTTTCACAACTTCTTCATGTCCCATATAAGCCGCGTCAAGTAGAGCAGTCCAACCATCCTTAAAAACTAAAACTGTTTCATATATTTTAAAAAGATATAGAACGCAGACATACGCAACATGCACAATACTGCAGAAATATTAATGGAAATTACAGGGTTTTATATATCCAACAATGCCGTTGAACAATAAAGTGAGTGAAAATTTTTACCCGACTAGTAAAATTCATTTATTCTATTAGTCAACTAAAGGAATAAATGAATTCTGTTTGTCAAATAAAAATTTTACTATTAATTGATTCACTCCAATCGTGTTTTCTTAGCTTAGGAACATTTCGTTCAGCTTATTTTTCATCAGTGTTCATTAAAACAACTTGGAATCCTGATGAACATCCAATCCAATGTACCAACCATTTTAATAAGGTTTTTTGTTCTAACAATCAGATATATTCTGCAAATTTTTTTCGAAAATTAATATAATATTCTAATTGACATACAGCATCTGTATCCTCCAAATCAAAATCACTGATGAAATCTTTTACAATATCTGCTTGCCCCGTTCTAGCTGCAACTATGAGAACATTTTCATTGTCCTACAATAATACAACACTTTATTTTAGTTCATCAGAAGTTTATGTATTTTGAATGTGAAGCATTGTATATCCATTTGTTAAAAAAAAAAAAAATTTCATTTTTCGTCGAAAGATATCGATATGATCGTTGTTACTCCCAAATGCATAAACGATTGCTTTCCAAAAGATACAAGAATAAAAGGATGAACAAACAGCATTTCTGAGAGTGTTGAAGTCTTGTTTTGCAAGATTAGTGCTTCGAAGTTGACCATTTTCTAGTAGCGTAAACAATTCTTCCGTTTTTGCATCGGCAGCCATCTTATCAAGATTTACAATCCGTAGGACCTGAAGGAAATATTTTTTAAAAGGTGATATGTATATGATTACTTAACAGAAACAGAGACACAAGACAATTATACAGTTCTCTTATTTCTTTATTAAAACGTTTCAAAGTCGAATAAAAATTTATCATATTATCCTTCTCTACCATTATGCAAACACGAGACATCCAGGCCGGCCGGCAACAAGACCTGAAAATGTCCGGATTTGTGATGATGACAGTACCACATTTCATGATCTTCAAATTCTTCACATCCTTATCTTACTTCAAAACAAAGTATTCATGTGATCATCTGTTTGGTAAATCTCAGGAATTCCTACTCTCAAATCCGCCAATCCTTCCTAGCAAGTAGCAAGTTGAAGGAATGTGATGCATGAGAGCAAAGATTCGCCAGCAATCATTTGGATAGCATGATTACTTGCTTGATTTAAAATCGTTACCTTCTATCGTTTCGATAAAGAAGCGTCTGTTATTTATCCAGAAAATAACAGACATCTTATCATTTATGAATGTTTATGTTAGCAGAATTACAATGAATAAAGTAATTAGTGCACTCACTCGACTCATTCAACCTTTAATTTATTCTTCAAATACAGGATTTATTTACTTATTTAACAAATCCTTTCCATTTCTTTTCAAAAAATCTTTGTCTCAGTTGTATTTTCAACATGCTCTATGTTTTCATTCATGGTTTGTAATACTTCAGATATATGTATGTTTTCCCAGCGAGATTTTTTAGGTCCATCAGTTTGGGAAATCAGTATACTACTTTAGATGATCTTTCTAGGCACTAAAACTGAAATA